TTTTTTTTTTTAATTATTGCATCCTGGAACCTGTCAAATGCTTGGCATATAGCAAGTAAATTATAAATGTTTATACAGTAATCTTTACTGAATATCTAACCAGGTGTTTCTGGACATTAAAAACCATTATGATTGAAATGGAGACAGTCCCTGCCCCCTGAGACTTACATTCTAGTGTCTGTTGAAGAAATAAATGACCACGGTACCCACACTGAACTAGCTCGTGATGAGGAAAGGGGTTTAAAGCACTCAGAGTCTATGCCCTCCAACCCACCTTCCATAGCTCCGGATTTATCTTCCATGGACAAAACAGGGTCATCTCTCTTCTTAAAACTCTCTCAGCCCATCACTCAAACCGTCTGTCTGTCAAAGCTTCCTGTCGTCCTGCACAACCAACACAGCCGTTCAACATCACCAACACATGGTCCTTACTCCTCTTACTGGGTCCTTTCTCATACTTTAGTGGAAATATTCATGAAGGATTGTGTGATACCATCAATATCAAACACACTAAATATTTATGAATTGCTGGCTATATACCAGGATCTGTGTGTTCTTTGAAGAGGAGACCTGAGGCTAGCGAGATACTCACATAAAAAGATCACTGGTGATGCTAGAGAAACAATGTCAGGTGACAAATGAGGCTGCAGACAGGAAAGGAGGAAGAAGATAGTCTTGCTGAGTCCATTAAATTAATTAGAAAAGTGTTTGGCATGCCACTTTCAGTGTCATAGATGCTTACGCCTATGTCATTTAAACTGCTTTAGTCCTTCCAAGTTCATTAACTCCTTCCAGCATTGTGGAGTCTTTGCCTTATTCTACATCCCAACCAGAAAGAGGTTAATCCCTGCTGTTAGGAAGCTTTGAGGGGACTGGGTTCTTGTCCTAAGAATGATGGGAGCTACGGAAAGGTTTCAGTAGAGGAAATGTAGAGTACACTAAGTTTTAAAAGATGACTGGGATGTGATATAAAGCAATATTCTTTGTACTTTGATGCCTTTAAACGTGTGACCACATCATTTAATCACATGTTTCTGGTGGCGACAAGGAAAAGGTATTACAGGGGGAGGAAACTGGAAACAGACCATGGAGTTGGGAGAATTTTGAAATTAAGCAATGGGATTGGTGATAGATAAGAGGGAAGGGATTTAGACAATCCTTCCTTCAGTATCCAGAAGGGACTGGTTCCAGGACCAAAATCCATAATACCCTTATAGAAAATGAGGTAGTATTTGCATAAAAGCTATGCACATCCTCCTGTTTTCTTTAAATCATCCCTAGATTACTTATAATACCTAAAATAATGCAAATGCTATGTATTTAATTATTCTACTATATTTATGGAATAAGGACAAGGAAAAGTCTGTACATGCTCAGTACAGAAATGTTTCTTAAAATATTTTCAATCTGCAGTTGGTTTATTCCAAAAATGCAGAACCTGTGGATATGGGGGGTCAATGGTAATATATATCTTACATTATACATATTACATATATATTATATAAACATTACATATGCATACATTATATATGTACAATATAAACATATACATTGAAATGTACATGTGTATTTTTCTGCTAAGACTTAGTGATAATGGAGAGGGTATGAAGGTGAGAGTATAGAATGATTCCCAGGATTTGGGGTGGGATTCTGGGTGGGTGAATGATGCCAAACTCATAAATACAGAACACAAGAGGAGGGAAAAATTTGAGGGAGTAAGAATGATGAACCCGATTTCAAATATTATACAGGGAATATTCTAGTAGCAATGCTGGACACACAAGTTTGGGATCCCAAAGAGAGAGTCAGGCTAGAAATAAGAATTTGAGAGTCATCAGCAAAGGAGATGGTAATTAAAACCTAAGGGCAGCTTGTCAGTGGGGGTGGAGGGCATTCCATTCATAACAGGCAACTAAAATCTGAGTTCTGGGAAAGTAAAAGGATTGAAGGATGAGAACCAGGTACCTGACATAAGAGAAAACAACCAGCTGAGTCCCGGCAGAGCCAAATACAGTGAAGCAATCAAATAAGGTAAGATGTGAAACATCTATTACATCTAGCAAAGTACTGTATTAATGGGTATGTGTTAGTCTGAGAATCGGAACCTGTAGGAGATTAGGTAGGTAGGTAGTGTTTAGGGAGATAGTAGATAGGTAGGTAGATATTTGGAATATAGAAGGAGTTGGTTCATTTGTTCTCAAGTTCTTCAGTCAACAAACTGAAGACTCAGGGTATGGCTCCAGCCAAAGTATGACTTCAAAGGCAGGAGAAGCCCCATGCCCCAGTACACAGACAGCCAGGCAGAGAGAAAATTCACCCTTACTCATCCTTTTTCGTTCTATTAAGGTCTTCAACAGGGTGGATGATGCCCACCCACACTGAGCAATCTGCCTTACTCAGGTTACTAATTCAAACGTTAATCTCATCCAGAAACACCTCCAGAGTCATCATCATAGTAATACATAACCAACTATCTGGGGAATCTGTGGCCCAGTCAAGCTGTCATTTAAAATTAACTATTGCAATGAGGACCTTCAGTGGAGGGCAAACCCAAGAGAGGCAAATGAGAAATGAGTGGAATAATAGGTATAGAGTACTGTACACCTAGGAATTTGGTTGAGGTTTGAAAGTGGGCTTTCAAACTTTCTTTTCTCTCAAGACTTTTTTTTCTTTTGTTACCAAGGATTGGACCCATTGGTGCTTAACCAGCGAGCCACAACCTCAGCCTTTTTTATGATTTTTTTTTTTTTTTTGAGACCGGGTCACTAAGTTCATTAAGGTCTTGCTAAATTGCTAAAGCTGACTCTGATCTTCCTATCCTCCTGCCTCAGCCTCCCAAGCTGCCGGGATTACAGGCATGCCTCACCACTCCTGGCTTGACTTTTTTTTAGGATGGAAAGATATTTGATAAATTAGAGATTTATGGGTAAATTGGTCAAACTTTCCAAGGTGCTACTGTTCTGAATGAAGTCAAAGTCCAAGATGTAGCTCAAAAGGAATGCCTCCAATGGAGATCAAGGTTACTGGAGTTGTGAAAGTCAAGGAAGCGAAAGGCCTGGTGCTGGACAGGTTGTTCACACCGTCCTTTTCTTCCCCATGCAAGTTTCTGACAATTCATCAGGGCTGGCAACAAAGGCCATCTGTGTACCAAATTACCCATCTTCTCCTCCTCCCTCAAAGTCAGTAGGGTATCCCCCAAGGCTTAACGGACTAGTGTAGCTTCTTTATCAGAAGACATTCGATCTTCACGGGTCTAGAGAGTGGAAACTGTCTTATCACTTCTAATACCTCTAGATAGAGAACTGCCCATCATTCACGTGTAAAAGGGATTCTGATTTGGTGGATCTGGAGTGAAGTTTCAGAATTTGCATATCAGAAGTATCTCAGATAAATCTCTAATGTGGGTATCCCAGGGCATGTGACACGGGCGGCACAATGTTCTGTGGAGTCGAATTAATAGAATTGAACTAGGTGATACTTTGGATCCAATTGCAGAATTTTCTCAGTTCCCGCTGCAGTTTGAGAAATGGCCGGCAGGTGGCGGGCGACCCACACAACCAGCAAAGAAGGATGTAGTTTCCCAGGTCCCCAAATCCCAGCCGAGAAACTGCCCAGGCCATAAAAGACAGCTGTTGGCAACAGTGGTGAGTTTCATCCCTTTGAATGTGACTCCCGATGACCCGACGACCCACCTTTTGGGTTGGTCCCCAGGGCTAAAGCCTTGAGGATCCCATGATCCCAGGATGCCGCCTTCTGGCCGCCAGAAGCCATAATCCCGCAAACTGGTGATGACGTCATTGCCTTCCAAGATTCTGGCGGGTGAAATGAGGGCAGAACAGCAAAGAATGTTTGGCTGTACAAAGAGGGGAATTGTGGCTAGAGAGTGATATGGCCCGGTCTGTGTTGTCTTATAGTGAGAACTGGAGGGGATTTATATTGCTCACTCCCCATAGTTTGTAAATTGAGAACATCCTAAGAGAGAATGAACAACTTGCCAGGGGTTGCAAAGTCAGAAAGTTCTAGAACATCCTGGAATCTTTCTCTTCAAGTGGTTTAGGCAAATACCTGCATTTCCTTCATTAGTGTCTGCTGAAGATTTGTCATATTGGGAACATCTGTTGGAGAAGCTGGACGATAGGATGTGTTCGCAGTCCACCGGCTTTTACCTAGACTTTGTAATTATTTGGGGATAGCCTGACAGATGGGGAAGGGTGAAGGTCCAAAGAGAAATGGAGATGGAAGAAGAATGCTCTCCATTGTTGTTCCACTTTTGTGTTTTAATGGACTTTCTTTTCTTACCCCCTTTTCCATCTATTAAACTACAAGTATATTCAAGGCTGTGATGGTGTCTTACTTATCTTAGTTATGTTCCATAGTTATTTGATAAATCAAATGAACACTTATCATTTTAAAATCTAAGCTGTATTTTTTAACATCTGAGATGAATAGCATATACCTCCTGTTACATATTTCATTATGCTTCTAATATTTAACATATTTCCCATATGTCAGGAACTGTCATTTTTTACAAACATTAACTAATTTAATTGTCTTTGCTAGTGTCTTTAAGTTTCCATGTCCATGAATATCCACATAGAATGTCACTCTCTTCCTCCCTCCTCCCCTTCTCCTTTCCCAACAGAGGACTGAGAATACCTAGTGTTCCTCACTTGTGCTGCAAATGCTGGGCCTGGGGAAGAATGTCCCGAGGGAGGAAAGAGTTCATTAGCAGATCCTGGGGATGCAAAGTTAATCCTGGTAGTCACTATGCCTTGACCATCCCTGATTCCCTAATAGTTTACCAGTAAACTAGATTCTCTTGGTCTGCAGGGCCAGTGTCCAGATTTGCCCTGAGGAGGAGAAGGCTGGAGACCAGAGGGCTGATTTATAAGCCAAAGCATTCCCGGGCCGCACCGCAAGGAGTCGGGCTGAGCCCGGACTTTGGGGAGGTGATGATGGACACAGGACACGTGGCCACACAATGGGGACACACGACTGACCTCAGTCACTTCGGTAAACTGCCCCTGCTTTCTGGAGGCGGCAGGAGCGTTTCGGGGCTTCTAAGGCTCCTGGTGCCTAAGTTCCTTGCCCCGCTGGTGGCTCCCTTCGCCCAGATGATTGTGGAGAGCACCCCCTGGCGCGCGGGAGCTCAGAGGCCCCTGACTCTGATCTCAAAGTCCATGCACGAGGATGGAGCCTTGGTGCATTCCGTGCTGTGTAGAGAAAAAGACACAAGAACCACATCGGTTAGGGGTTGGGTCTGTTCAAAACCCGCTGCAAGTGAACTTTCCGCGATGGTCAGATAGGCACCGGGCGGAGAAGTGACGTCACCGAGCAGCCTCCATGGGTGAAAGGCAGCAGAAGGGTCAAAAAGTAGTGTGTGGCTGGAAGGGGGTGGGGGGCATGTGATTAGAGGGCTATCAGAACGAAAGAAGGGGTTTGGGGATGTATGAATTTGAGAAGTAGCATCAAGTTGGGGTAAACAGCAGGGCTTTTTTCTTCCCTCCTATATGCAAACTGTCACTTCGGGTTAGCGTGAGCCCTTATCTGGCTCATTAGCATGAGCTGTGGCTAACACGCTTAAACCCTCTAATTATTTATTATGCCGACACGGAGCGGGTCGCAACCCCCGGGCGCACTTGTGCGCACCGTGGAACTGGGCACCGCGCGGGGGCTGGGGCGCAGCGCTACCAGAGAGACCCTTCCTGGCTCAGGAGTCCCCCAGAGCACTGTGTAGCTAGTGCAAACGGCAGAGTTAGAGTGGTCTATCTGGAATGTCCTACTGTCAAAATTTATCCCTGGGGAATTAGTGCACCACATAAGTGGCTCCTGGTCTACACTTGCGCAGGCTCTTCTGGATCCACAAAGATGGAACTTGGCGCTAAGGGAACAGAATTTTTTGCAAAAAATGGAAGTCAAACCCAGAGCAAGGGGCTGAGACTTGGGCTGGCTTGACTGTTGGGTACACCTTCCTGAAGAGCTCTGGGAAGAAACTAAAGCCCCTAGATGGTCTACGCAGTTGGGGGGGAAAGAGGACGGCTGAAATCTGGCCACTCCTGTCCATGGTTCTAGTCAGAAAACAGTTTCAAAATAAGTTAACCTCTGTAGGGTGTTTTTCCCCCTCCCCTTCTAATTGTCCCCCTCTCCCCCTCCCTCTCCTTTCTGAGTCTGTTTTATGTCCCTCTGCGTTGTGCCAACTATTTTATCTTTATTCCTTCTCTTTCTCCGTCGCCATTCATTCCTTTTTTTGTGTGTGTGGCTTCTGGGGCCAATGTGCGGCTTGTTACCACCCACTGTAAGCTCGCTCCTGTAGCTGAGGTGTTTCTATACAAACTCGAGCGTCCAGTTGTCATATTAATTATTACACTGAGTAATGACTGAAATGGTCAAAATAAGGGGAGACTCAAGAGCGCTTTTTCTTGCTGCTCAAAGATTCAGCAAAGAAGCCGTGCAACAAAGCACTAATTGGCCCCCAGAAACACTCTGACAAGGCATGGAAGATAGGTTTCATAGAGCCCTGCGATTGTGAAGGGGGGAAGGCTCTGAATGGACCCCACGCTTCTTTTCTAAACTCTCTTGCTGAGCAAAAAATGGACCTCTGTTTGAATACTGCCCTGATCCTTGAATACTATACCCAGCAGAGAAAAAAATGCACCATTTATTGTAAGTTTTTTTTTTCTTCTCCAGCTATTCAGGGGTTCTCTGTGAAGAATCAGCTGGTTTTGTTTACCATGAAAGACCTTTACTTTATTTTCATTCTTGGAGGAGATGGGGAGGGAGAGGGAAGGAGAGCCATGTGCCTAGACAGAGCAGAGCTGGCCTACTGTAACAAAATAGAGTGTAACAAATCCTACAAAAGTTGAGAATGTATTGATTCTTGGGAGAGCTATATAGATTAACGACTTTCTTTATGCTTATCCAAAGAAGGTATTTAATCATAATGTAAATGGGGCTTTAGAAAAACTAAAGACTTAGCGTTACTTCTCCTTATTTGGAGAACTTCAAAAGGACTTGTGAGGTGGCTGCAAATTACCCTGTTCACCCCCACCCCCCGCACTTTTCCTCCTTCATCAAAAAGCCACAATAAAATATAGTTTGTGCTTTTTGTGTTGCACTTTTTCAACTTTTTTTTTCTTTTTAAGGCATATTGAAAAAGCGAATAGATTTGTTAGTAAGTCTGAATTCCTTCACGCAGGTGCAGGCCTGGCTGTTTTGACCAACGAGGGGAGCCCAGCCAAATGCAGGCTGTGCTGTTCTGCCCTCTGAGCAAGCCCTCTCTCTACAGAAACTCCAACTCCACAGTGGTCTTCCCTCAGTATACCTTGGCAAGAGTGCCTTCGGAGACAGGAGATTGGGCAGTAATGTACTTTTCCTTTTCTCTGAGAAGACACGCTCAGAGTACTATGCACAGCAGGTCAGAGTACATATGGTTGCCAGAAACACGTATTAGCAATTAATTCAGGGCAAACTCAAACTTTTCTCAAACTACCTGAAGCTTTGGGCTGGAGTTGTGGCTCAGTGGTAAAGTGCTTGCCTTGCACGAGCAAGGCCCTGGGTTCAATCCTCAGCACCACATAAAAGTAAATAAATAAATAAATAAAGATATTATGTTCTTCTACAACTAAAAAATATTTTTAAAAAATACCTGAAACTTCTGGGACTTAGGTCTCCCCCAAATTGAGGACACAAAAATTCTTGTGACCAAATCCAGAATCAAATGCCTGTGTTTATGTTTGTACACTCTTTGCCCCTTATTCAAGATACACTATGAGAACAATTTTATTAAATTATTCATCCCCATGACAAACTTAGTTTTGCTCTCCCCCCCCCAAAAAAAATGTAGATGGGCTTTTTTTTTTTTTTTTAATGAGACATATCTTGGTTCCACAGAAAGAGGTCAGAGGATTCTGGGGCTTGAGGATAGCATGTGAGAAAAGATGATTCTGGTCTGGCCTTCAGCTGTGAGTGGAAATTAAAGTGGCAAGAGACTCCAGGGAACAAGGTCTCCGAATTTTGGGTTGCAGATCTGTATGGATCATTAAGAGAAAGTCATTTTCCCCTAAGTGGACCTTGGTGCAAGGTGTGGATAAGAGCTAATTGAAAGCACGGTCCAGTTCCAGGAGGTTCTGACATAGGAAAGTGGTTTGAAGGTACAGTAATGAATTCACTTATTGTAGTGAAGGAAAAAATCAAACCTTTCTATTTTCCCAGAATACCTATATTTGGGGTAATACTTACCAATGAGTGTCAGTGTCTTGTTCTCCTGAAGACAGAACTCTGTTTGCATGCTACTAGTTGAAAGAATGGAAAGGCAATTCCTGGAGTAAGTGGGATATTTGCAAAGCAAACTCAGCAACAGCATTTGACTTCATTCTCATAACAGCCTTGACAAATAGGCAAAAGGCACCCCATTTGTGAGTGAAGATATCAGAACTCTTCTTGTGTGAGTTGTTTTCTTCTTCCCATGTTCAGATAAATGGGACCTTGTTCAAATATCCTGGTTAATTGAAATCCTGGATGACTTGTTCAGAGTCAGGCCCACTGAGTGGCAAGGGAACCACAGAAAGCCAATGTGTATGTCTGGGCCAGGGACTGTGCTACAGCCACTTTCATGTGAAGGTCACATGAAATAATAGCATGTCTACATTTAATCTCCTTGCTACTGCTCAAATTAAAACATGTGCTTGCTATCTCTATCACCTTGATTAACCAATCACAGTCATTCTTAAAGAATAAGAGGAATTACTTACCCCTAACTGCTCAGACAGGGAGACATGGTAGCACTGGATTTCCACCTACTGGAGCAATTATCACAGTGTGGTTCCAGGAAGCCAAGAGCTGAACCTTTTCCTCTGCTGTACTTTGGGTCTGGAAGGCCAAGTGTAGAACTCTTGGTCACCAGGGTGGCGCTATTGGGAAGTGGCACTTTGACTAGCGGGCTTAGTAAGAGGTATCTGGTCATTGGGGCCATACTCTTGAAAGTGATTGTGGAACTCCTTGCCCTTTCGCTTCCTGGCTGTAAGGTGACTGGTCTTTCTCCACTGTGCACTTCCACCAAAACACGGGGCCAAAAGATTATGGATTGAAATCCCCCAAATGGAGAGCTTAAATCATTTATCTTTATGAATGAATCATCTCAGGTATTTCATAATGGTGATGGGAATGCTAACCAACACACCCTCTCTCAAACCTTGCCTGGGCAGGCTGGATGAGTGTGACTTCCTCATCGATCTCTTATCTAGACCTAGTCCAGAGTGCTGCATGTGTGTCAGGTCAAAATCTCACAACTCTTATAAAATAGGTGTTGTACCTGTTGCATGGTACAGGTAAGGAAACAAAGACTCCCAGAAGGTAAGCTACGATGTACTCAAGGTAATTAAGCCTGGATACCTGCCAAGTCCTTCTGCTTTTTCTGGAGCTCCCTGGGCCTAGGAGAGCACACTACCAGTTCTCTCAAGAGGGAAAAGAGTGTGTTATAATCTAGGTCACAGAGTGAGAAGCAGGATACCAATTTTGGCCCTTGAGCCTCAGTCCTTTGCTCCAAACTAGACTCCCATACAGGAGGTGTATATAGGAGGTGACCAGGCCTAGATTAGAATGAGCCAGGAAACTAGTCTCAGAGGAAAACTCTTCTTGGTTCTGTACCATCACTGAGGGCAGAGTTGCATTCTCCTAAAAAGAAATCTAGACAGGTGAAGACAGCGTTGGAGTGCTTAAGTTTCCTGGAGGAAGAAAAGAACAATGCCTGGGTTTCTGGAAAGCTTTGCAAAGCATGTATGGAAGCAGGCTTAGCCTATGAGAGTGGAAAGAATTGGGGTCGCGGAGTAGGGAGACTAGGGATACACTCTCAGGTACTTTTGCTTGGAAGGGTTACTATACCTTTATCCTCTCTCCAGAGCTGGGGCTAAGGAGCAGGAACACTGCACTGCAAGATTTCACAAGGTACTTACATTTAGAGCCCATTTCATGGCCAATGTGTGTTGTTCTGATTTTTTAAGTCTCTGGTAATTAGGATCTCTGTATAGGCCTGGAACCCCCATTCCAGAATACGCATGGCTACCAGAAAATTTTCTGTGCTCCTAGATATGGTTTTCAAAATTAACTAATGTAGGCCTTTTCCTGTGCAGATCAGAAAACTGAGGCATATAGAGGGGATGAGGCTTGTTACAGGTTACAAGGTACCACAGTGGTACAGCTGGGACTCTTCTGAACCTTTTTCAAATGTAGAACAATAGAAGTTGCACGGGAATTCAAAGCTCCTGCATGATTCAACATAACATGAATTAAAATGCACTTACATGCATTGATGTTAACCACATACTCTTCTGCTTTCCACCTGCCCCCACTTTTGTCAGAGAGGAGTGGGTAGGGCCTGTGGAGGCCTCCTAGTGGCACACCCAGGACTCACAGTGGGGGCATGTGGATGGTGGACAGCTCCTGAATAATCTTATTCTTTCTGTGGCCTGAGGTTTCCTGAGGTTGGAAAGCACAAGAGGCCCAGCCTGGGTGGTGAAACCAAACTTCTGAAAAGACAAATGTGACTCTGGAGACCTCTTGGTTTATTTCTTGGGATGAGGACATCCTCCCAGTAAATCCAGGAGGATTCAGTGAAATCCTGTGTATTCAACAAGACACAGGTTACTGGGGGCCTGGGGACTGTGTGAGTGAGGAGGTTTACAGAACAGACCTTTCTTGGCAGGACTAGGTCATATGCTTCCCAAACCTACCTCTTCTACATAGAGGAAACTGAGGCAGAAAAGAGACGTGATTCACCTGGGGAGCTAATATTCTTACTGCCCACCATCATTATTGTTTTGAAAACACTCATAACCAGCCACTCATGCCCAGTGTGGCTGCCTGGGTCACTCTCACCGCCGCTTTAGAAAGACCCAGCTTCATAAAGGAAGTTCATTTAGTGCAATTATTCAGATAATTCACAATCACTCCTGCACTTAGATCTCTGATCAAAACTATTTCCACTGGACAAATCCACCAGATTGCCCTCACTTTGATTCTGCCTCTATAGACCTGAGATGCGACCCAGCCTCCCGCTCCACCAGATCATTTGCTTGGTTTGCTTTGCCCAGAGCGCAGTATCCCCAGAAGCTGGACCGGGTTCTGGCCAGAGAGTGCCAAGGCCGAGGGCCCAGGAAGGGCGCCTGGGCAGGCGCTGTCCAAGCCGCCGAGCGACGGCTGCAGGCGCCTCCCCCACCCTCGTGGCGCCAGCACACGGCTCCACCGGGCTCAGCTCCCAGTCGCCTGCCACCGGCCCGCCGGGCACACGCCTGGGGCGGGATGGAGGCTGCGCCAAGGCCGCCGAGGAGCCTGCGGCAGCGCTGCCCAACAGCCAAGGAAGCTCCTCCAGTCCCCTAAGCTCCATCACTCTCTCCTCTGCCACCCCACATCACATCTTTCTTCTTGGAGAGACCGGAAATATTCCAGAGCGCTCTCCTCTTTGGGCTTCCCGCAGCCAGTCTAGAAATAATCCTCTGGGGAACCGGTGCGAGGTTACCCAGGGCGCGAGGAGGTGTTTTGGGGCGGGAGGTGCACCTCCCTGCAGAACTAATTATAATCTTTCCGCACTCCTCCATTGTGGTGGGTACCTCCTAGTTATTAGGGTAGGATGGGAGGTAGAGACCATCTAATCTAATCTTCTGTGGCCACAGAGGAGGAAACCGAGGCTCAGGAGGATAGCACTTACAAAGAGCCACAGAGCTCTTGAGAGGACGGACGGAACTAGAACTCAAGCCTTCGCAGAGTCCAGTCCTTGTCCCTCTGTTTCCATTCCATGCTTCTACACTTTAATTTTAAAACTACTGCAGTTCTTGCCATTGAAGAACCCCAAGAGAGCAGTAGTGGGGAGAAGTAAAGAGGAAAAGTAGAGCCCCAAATTCTCCCCTAACCTTCACACCTTCCCTGTGCCACTCTTTCTGCCCAAACCCTTCCCTGAATTTTGTTCCAGTTTCTCAGGAGAATCCAAGAGCATGTCACCCCAGAACTTTCTACCCATACACCTCAATTCCCAGAGCTATTTACCCCTCCTGCGAAGCCGGCCCCCCCTTTCTAGAGCCACCCCCGGCCGCAGCCCGCTCCTAGCGCGGCGCCTGTTTATTCAGCCGGGAGTCCGGCACGCGCCAGGCGCACGCACTGCAACAACAAACCCCACTGAATGGAGAGTTTGCAAGGAGCGGGCGCAGGGAACAGGAGGGGGAAGGGGAGCGGAGGAGGGGGAGTTTAGGGAGTGGGTGGGAGGAGGAGGTAAGAGGAGGGGGAGTGGGGGCTGCAGCCGCTCGCTACAGCAGCGGGGAGTGGGGGGCGAGGCGGGGCCAGGGCTGCGCGTGGGGCTGGGTGTCCCATTGAAAAGGCGGCTGCGCTCCGGCCGCCCAGCACTCTCACTTCTGGCCAGGGAACGTGGAAGGCGCACCGACAGGGAGACGGTCAGGGAGAGAGAGTGAAAGAAGGAAATAAGAAAGAAAGGGGGTTAACAAAATAATAAAAACAGCCTGAGCCAGGGCTGAGAGACCAGGACCAGGCGCAAGAGACCGCGACCTTTAGGTAGAGAGGATCTGGAGACGCGAGACTCCGCAGAGCTCACTCAGCACTGATTTTGGCTACTTCTTCCTTTTTCTTTTTCTTCCTTCCTTCCTTCCTTCTTATTTTTTTAATAGCAAGAAGGCGCTAGCGACAGACTCACACGCGAGCGCCACGCGAGGCTCCCAAAGCCAACCCGCGAAAGGAGGAGGGGAGGAGGAGGAGGCAAAGAGGGAGGAGAAAAATCATTTGCACCTTCTTTGCTCCCTAAGAAATCTCCCGGGGATTTTGCTTTTTTAAAAACTTCCCTCTGGGCTCCCACTTTTTCTCTCCCCTTCTTCCCTCTCCGTTCGTGCACCCAAGTTCTGATTCTACCCCTCGCCTGCCCCGCACCTTGCATCCGGGCTCACTCTGATCCTGCGACTCCTTGGCCGCCGCTGCGCATGGAAAGCTCTGCCAAGATGGAGAGCAGCGGCGCCGGCCAGCAGCCCCAGCCGCAGCCCCAGCAGCCCTTCCTGCCGCCGGCAGCCTGCTTCTTTGCC